CCTGGAGGGCTGTGGTTTGTGTGCTCATTCTACTCTTTCTGCCTGGAATGGCCTGCCTGTGTGCCATCTGAACCCATCAGCTTTGCTCATCCCTCAGCCTCAGCGAAAGCATTTCTGTGAGGCGACCGTGACTCTTGCCTGCTGGATGTGGTCTCCCTCCTTGAGTTCAGGTGGAACTTGGCACTTCTCCCTTGCTCTCATTGTCACACACACACACACACACACACACACACACATGTAATATATATTTTTTCTCTTTCCACCTCTGGACTGTGGGTTTAAGGGCAGAATTTATTTATGATTTGCCCTTCTTACCCCATAGTTCTTTCTGCTTGGTTGGACACCAGTAAATATTTACAGGGCTATTAAAAGCATTTTTTTGGAACTCCAACCTGGTACCAGGGTCACAGTGTTTTTAGAAGAACTAGTGAGCACTTGTGCAGGGTGGGGGAAAGTGGAAACAGCTCCAGGCTAACCTGGATGACCCACAAGATGGAAGAGCTCTGTGAATGGAGTTCTGTCTGAGTAACAGTTCTGGCCTCTGTTTCCCTCAGCTGTTCAGGGCAACAACGAAGTGTCCATGTGGGACATGGAGACCGGTGACAGAAGATTCACCCTCTGGGCCAGCAGTGCACCACCACTTTCTGAGTTACAGGTGTGACTCCAGTTCTTATCACAAAGGACAATATAATTTACCCCATCCCAAGCACTTGCAGGCATTGTACCAAATGTGACATTTGTCGAGCTTTTGCGTTAAAGTAAGTGTTGTCCTTTCCTGTTTCTTAGGCTTACTGCTGTCTGCCTGGGCCTTTGGGTTGCTAGCTCTATATGGTTTGTGATGTCTCTTTGGGACTCCACTAAATATCTGGGTTAATTAGGGAAAGTCCAGATTGAAGTTTAGGTCATTAAAAAATCGAATATGATCCTCTTCCATACACTCTGTTTTTAATTGTCATGTTGCCAAGGGTGCTTTACTGGGGCAAAAGGTAGGAGAGATTTTTTTCTCCTTTAGTTCAGGTCCTTCTTGTCCCAAATAGAAAATTTTAGGAAGCTGAACAGGCTTTGTCTCTTCACTCAGAATGGTACAAAACAAATACAGTTTATAGTCTCAAAGAAAGAAGTCTGTAAGACATACATACTCAGTCTCGTTTCTTCAGTTAGCCAGGTGCCTGCAAAGCTACTGACAGTTGACTTGTTTCTAGAAATGGTATCATCATTTATGGAAAACACTGGTGTCTTTTTGTTGACTCATATTTCTTTCTTTCAAGCCTTCCTCACACAGTGTCCATGGTATCTACTGTAGTCCTGCAGATGGAAATCCTATCTTGCTGACAGCTGGCTCAGACATGAAAATAAGGTACAGTATCTAATAAAGAATATTTCATATGTAACACTTTACAGAAAGGACAGTACAATGTTGTTGGATACCTTAGTTAACACGGGTATGATTTATTACAGATGATGTATTATTTATCCATTTGTAACTAATTTTATGCTGTCTTAGAAAAGTCTCTTTCCTAATGCAGAGGAAAATAAGTTGTGCACTGATGAATATAAGCCTGTGATCATTATTTCCTTGGTTATTTCCTGCCATTCGGTTCCTCTTCTCTAGGTTTTGGGACTTGGCCTACCCAGAGAGGTCCTATGTTGTTGCAGGAAGTACTAGCTCTCCATCCGTGTCCTACTACAGGAAAATAATTGAGGGCACTGAAGTCGTCCAGGTACAAGCAGTCTTTTCTCTCCCAACTTCTGTAGGCAAAAACATGGCTTTCAGGAACACTAAGTTGATTAAAATAAGTGGATTTTGCCAAGAGTGGCAGTGTTTCTTTGAGTTTAAGAAGTATGTTAATTTTCTTTGGCTTTTCTGTATTTTTTTAAGTGAACTTTTATTAAGGTATAATCAACATATACAAAGTGCCCATATAAGCATATGGCTCAAAGTAAGTGCTTTATACAGTTGGCTTGGTCCCTGAGACAACTTGATGAGGAAGTACATTTAGTATTTTCCTTCTACAGAACGAAAAGTTAAGCACAGTAAAGTTAAGTGACTTGTCTAATACCATCCACCTAGTAAGTGCCGAAGCTGGAATTCAGACCTGGCTGGGCTTTCTAAGGCTCATGTTCCTGAGCTGGGCGAGAACCTCTGGGGGAAGTGGTCACCTGAAAGGCCTGGGGCCCAAGGAGGCGCTCAATAAGTCAGAGTGCTGCCTTCGAGGCAAGTAGCGGGCTTCTGAGGTGCCAGACATCCAACATGTATTCACTTCCAGATTCTGGGCATTCGTACCTCTCAGTAATATGTTTCCTCTTGTTTCTTTTGACGTTGACAAAAGGGAACATGAGATTATTGTATAGATTGTTGGTCCCTTTATAAGTTTTACATATTTGTGAGTGGGTACTCATGGAATGCAGTGACGGGAAACCACATGTCATTCTGGATTCCCTTTTAACTCCTTTTGCTCAATATATTTGTGAAGGGATAACTATGTCACAAGCGGTGTTAGTTCTAGTAAGAACACCAACATATCTGAGGGGTAAGAAGACTGATGAGAGGCGGAATGTGGTGCAGGCATTTAACTTACGGCTTCCCCCCAACTTTTAACCCTGAAACAGGAAATTCAGAACAAGCAGAAGGTCGGACCGAGTGATGACACGCCCCGGAGGGGCCCGGAGTCTCTGCCTGTGGGGCACCATGACATCATCACAGATGTCGCCACGTTCCAGACCACACAGGGCTTCATTGTGACTGCCTCTAGAGATGGCATTGTTAAGGTGTGGAAGTGAAAGCCTAGTGATGTGTACAATTTGTAACAAAGTTATAAATATACCATAACTCAAGAGAAAAGGTATTTTTAGAGAAGTACTTAATTTTCAAAATCATGTCTCTATAGTACTGTTCCACAATTAAACAGATCCTACCCAAGGCGGCTAAGGATGTTGCTCTCAGCTAGTACATGTGCATCTCTGCGAGAACCAGCCAGGCGGCAGTATCTGGGATTTTTCTGTTGTATAGGTCACAGAGGTGAGGGATTTAAAATGCTCAGACTTACATGATGTCAGTTCACTTTGTACGGAAAAAGATGGTGGAAAAGATGGTTGTAAGCTCTTATAATGTAAACACGTTTTTGCTATTAAAAATGCTACTCAGACCAGCCAATAAATTGTGTTCAAGCATCTTAATGTTTGCTTCTCTTGGTGTGTTTACCAGTAATTAACAAAAGAATAAACTCCCGCAGTATTTGTTCTAAAGAAATGGACCAATGTCACAAGGAGTCACTGACAGAACTAGGCCTTATGCCCAAATCTTTGGACTCTCAGTGTTATGCTTTTTCTGCTCTTATCTTCTGTGTGTTTTATAGTCGATTTTATTAGTCATTTAACACTGTAGAACTGACCCTGTATCAGATCTAGAGAAATGTGTCTCTTCTTGGCCACCATTACTGTTTTTTGCAGGCTCGCCTATAAACTGTGAAATTTTGTTCACCAGCTTACTTTTATCCAGTAAAGATTATTTATTAAATGCATGAGAAAGAAAAGGTTTAAGCTGTTAAAAATATGCCAAACATTTATATTTTTAAGAGATCAAAATTCACCTTTCTCACTAAAATGAGCCTTTCAAGATTACTGATTATTGTTTGTACGCAAACCTGATTCTCCACATTTACCTCTCATCCACTTGCAGAAAGGTTCACGGTGTTCAGAATAGTTAAGTCGAAATTAGTTTAGTTACATGAATCTTTATAAAACCAGAAAGTTGGACGGAAAATCTGAATCTGGGGAAAATACTACTAAAGAAATATTTCAGACATTTAATTTTCTATAATTACATGGTTTCAGTTTTGATAGATGGCAGTTTGCAGTGCATATGTCTGACTTCACAGTTCAATATACTTAACGTTGAGACAGGTGAACAACAAAACTGCTAGAAAATACTGTTATCCAGAAAGGTGCAAGTCAGGAGTGATGGCTGCCCAGGCCAGACCCCCCAGTGGGTCAGTAGAATTTGCAAATTTGACATTGTTACATTGCCTCTGTTTCCCTTAAAGTCTGCTAAGATCCTATTTAAGAGTCTCTAGCTACTGAGTAAGATTTAGAATCTGCAGAGGTTGGAGAAGTTTTTTTGAGACAAACTGTTGTGCTGAGAATGAGCTTCAAGCCTGGAGCCATTAGATAAATGTGGGAAGTGCTGAGGAGAAAAATCTAATGGGCTGATGGAGATCCTTTTCTCCCCTTACCTTCCTGCCACCCCTTCTAATCCCCCTAAAGTTCTCCCCTCCCCCCTTTAAAAAGAGGTTACTGGGTTGTGTCGTCATGAGTATTACAATCTGAAGCCATATTGAGTTGCATCTCTTTTTCAACTTTTTTTTCACTAACACATTTGACTTACAGCTCAGTACAAAAATAACAGGAGGCATAGTCACTTTACATTTTAAGCTAAGAATGATCACTGCTTGTTTGTGTAATTCTTGGTTTAAATAGGGTTTTATTTAATTGATACTGAACTTTTGCTGCCTTCCTGTTTGGGGTGAAAGAAGAAAATCATGGAAAATGGTAATATTAGGGATTTATTTTTTAAAAGGAACTTAATATTTGTAGTATGTTTCAAACTCTTTACCTAGTAATGATGAAAAAGATGACCCAAAATGCTAAAATATGCCAACATGCTAAATCTCAATCACCAAGGGAATATTTGTTTGGTGTACTTTATTGATCAATGCAGAAAAAATAGGCAAATACATTTTAAAAGTACTTCCAGCAATAAACATAAGAAAGGAGTTTTTGCTTAATCCAAAGTTAACCAGAAAAATCCCTTTTATTAAAATACCTTTTAAATATTGCTCATCAATTCCTTGTATTTGAAACAAATTTTATCTGAACCCTGAAGCACCACTTAGGATATGAAGAAACCTGATGTGCTTTCCTGTTCTTATTTCCTGAGTGTGACATTGACATTTTAACTCCCTGCCCCTCTGAAGACGCTGGGAGCTCTCTCTCTGGAGTCACCTGAGTAAGGATGGCAGAGGTGGTTTAAAAAAACACTGCAGGTGGCCCTTTGTTCCCAAGTTTTATGAGTAGAGGTATAGAAAAAAATCTGATCATACCTGCTGGTCTTAGGTGTCGGTTCCCACCTGCTGCGCATCCAAGGAGGCTTCCCTATTGGCTGAAGAGGGTGGTCCTCTGCCCAGCAAGGCCGTTGGCTCCAACTATGGAGCCGCCCTCAGAGGTCAAGGTAAGGTCTGAACATTGTGTCTGGACTAAATGCTGCCTGCTGTTCAGTTGCTGATAGTATCAGCCCCTCCGTAAGATTAGTTAGTTACGTGAGGGGATGGGGAGAGAGCAGCTGTCAGTGGAGGCCACCAGAGGCTTAGTACTTCAGAGACCTCTCCTGCTTTAACTTACTCTGATCTCTTTGCATCTCTGCAACCCCACGTGGATTTGTAGATCCAAATATCAACAACTTTCTTATCTTTTCCAAACTATGCAGTTGAGGCTCTGTCCAGAGCTTGCCAGTCCTTTTTGGTGCTATGCACTATTGAGTGTAGCTACCTGATGGCAAAAGTAACTCAGAGCTTTACCCATGACAATTGTGCCTGTCTTCTCCTTGGGTAAAGGATATATGGATTAGTAAAAAAAATAATAAATGGCAATAATAGGAAAGAAAAGTGCCCATCAAAATGGCCGGGCAGGGGGCTCTGTATAATGAGAAGGAACTTCAGCTCAAAAGCAATAATTTATGTTCTGGAGAAATTAATGAGTTTCTCGTGGGGTTAAGGAGGATTTGCAGCTGGGGAAAATTACTCTCTGCCCCTCACCTGTCCAGGCAAACAACTACAGAAGGTGAGAAGAAACTTGTAGCACAAGCCCCCGGCTGGTCCATGCAGAGACAGTGGTGTGCTTAAATGCAATCATCCTGGAAAGCCAAATGTCCAAAGTTGTGACATACCAGAAGCACCAATTACTAAGATAAATTCTGGAGTCTCCCAGAACTATCTTTGGTTAACTACATGAGCATTAAACAGTATTAAATTGAGAAAAAAGTCTTGGTTTACATAAAGTGAACTAGACAGAGATCTATAATCAAAAGAATTAGCCCATGTATACACTATATAAAGTTTACCTTCAGTTGTATTTCCACTAGACTTTTCAAAAATACTTCTTTCATTCTTCCATCTTTTAATGATAACAGTTCTTGAACACATCAGTCTTACAGTGCTAGAGTTAACAGGAGCAGTCAGATAAATGGACAGGACATCTTAATACCAACAAGTGCAAGGGGTCAAGTTGCTGGATCATCTACAACGTGTGGTTTGTCCAGCCCTCTGAGTGGACCTTGGATACAGGCAGATACCCAAATAAAAGTTGCCCACGGTGATGGCAGTGAACTTAATTATTTAAGTCCAGAGTTTTACCATCCCTTCTGAGGCTAAATTCTTTGAGCATGTCCTTTATCATGTTGTTTGGGAGCAGTTTTTATCACCTGTTTTCCATTTTTAAAGGTATGGAATATGTTTCTGGTAAAATTTTGAACAGTACCATCTCGGCTGCCTCTTACTACTCTTGAAAGATACTTGTTGTCTTGAAAGAATTTTGCCTTCTGTAATGTGTCTTCTTTGAGGGCTGCTTTATGTGGTCCAGGAGCAAAGCTATACAACAAAAAAAAGATAAATAGAAGATAATCTATTTATCATAGAAGATAAATACCATTTCAGCTTCAGTAGACCCTGTGTTAATCTGCTTTCCTCCCTAAATGTTGCACCCATTCCTTGTTGCATTCTTTCAGGGTAATTTTACTAGGGATTTACATGGGGCATATGTATCAAAGCCAATAAATAAGACATCTTGTCAAATTACCGCAAGTATAATCTCAACAGTAAAGGTTCTTCTTTGTGGAGCTTGTCCCACCCGGAACTTCATATGGTGGATTCCTTCTGATTACTGAGATGTGGGTTCAAATGGAACCTCATTAGAGACTACCATGCTATCGTTTCCCCATTGTACCCCACTCCCAGTCACTCAGCACAGCTTGCTCTTATTTTTTTCCATAATAATCACTGTCTGAATTTTTGTTTACTTGTAAACTTCTTTGTGATCTATTCCCCACTCTTCAACCCTCCCAGACAGCAAGTTTCATGAAACCATGTCTGTTGTACAGTAATCCCAGCAAGAGTGACCGGCACACAGACACTCAAGATTTGTCTAATCAAAGTATGAATGGATGCCCCTCCCTCCTCTCCTCGCTCCCTCCCTTTCACCCACCTGTCCATCCAGGGTCTACCATCTGCTCTGTGGGAGGCCCTGGGTTAGGCACAGTGGGGGACATAGGAAAACTGCCCCATCTAGCAGGCACATAAAGAGTTTCACTGGAGTCCTGAGTGACCAACAGCAGAGGAGGCTTGGAGTCAGAGTCTGGGAGCCTTTCAACGCCAGACAGAAACCAGAAGCAATTGCTGACTAGATGTTCTAGCCTGTCCAATAGAACTGTGCTGACGGAAATGTCCTATAATCTTTACCGACCATTATGGCAGTCACCAGCCACATGTGGCTATTGAACACTTGAAATGTGGTTAGTGTGAACAAGAAATGGAATTTTTGATTTCATTTAATTGAAAACTAATGGCTATTGTATTGGACAGCATAGGTAGGGAGCCATTTCAGACAACCTCGTTTACTGGGAGGTGTGGAAAGAGCTTTGGGTCCAAAAACATATTACAGCTCCTCTACTTACTAGCTGAGCAGCTCTGAGCAAATCACTTAGCTAGAGTGATCCTTGTTTTTTCAGGTGTAAAATAGGGTCAAAAATGACCTATGTCATTGCAGACAGCTGAGGTCCCCCAGATTGGTCACCATGGCACTCTGTGAGAGATGAGATACATGTGCGCATGGGATGAAGGTCACCGCTGTTGCCAGAACTAACCCAGCTTTCTGGCACCAGGAGCTTGGCCTCCTGCCGGTGAATCAGGCTTTTATTTGGGATGTTGTGGGGACCTCCGAGACACTTGGAATAGGAAAGTGAAATGGTGAGTATCATGCTGTCAGAAGCACTGGGTGTGTGGGTCATACCACAGGAAGGTGAATGTCCTGGGGCAAATGGACAGGTAAGGCGTGAGGTGCCAGGCACAAAAACTTCATGAATCTGTTCAGAATGAATGTAAGGCAGATATGCTCAGAACAAGGGCCTGGTGTCATGAGAGGAGTTTTATCAATATTGATGAACTTTAGAAATTAGCCGAATTGCCATCAAGGGAAGATTCAAGAGAAGGCCAAAATGTTGACACCAGGAATAATAAATCTGATCTCTCTCACAAAAGCATCAGTGTTTAGAAAACGAATATGTGAAAGATAAAGAATTTAAAATTACTTCACCTCTTACACACACGTGTACACATACACCATATAATCTTTTATCTGTTGTGAGAGGGATAAAGGAGACATGAAACCAACAAAGAGAAACATTCATGCACATAGGCCCTGAAGCCTTCATGCATTACATACTGTATGTCCAGGCTTCTAAAATGCAAAGCCCAAAATGTATCCCAGTTCAGTACCATCAATATCGTCAGCAATGTACTGAGTCAACAGTCTCCTAGTTATCAAGAACAGCAGTCCTGGCTAAATTTCAGTGCAAATACAGTTTCAGTTTCCTCACACCTACCTACACTTTGCTGTGTTATGAACTCTAATTCTTCAAAGTCTTAATTGCCTATATGCACAGAACGTGGCTATAGAGAATGCCTCCTATTGAGTCTAGAATAGAGTTTTCATGACGAGAGTCTCATCTTCATCCTACTGGTCTTGCCACTCCTCCCCCCGTCCATTGGATCCTTTTTATGGTAAATTATCTTTGTTATCTTCCTCTTTTGTTAAGAGGTTGTTAAATTGGTAACTGCTTCTATAACAAGATATTACTTACTTCCCCCCTCAAATATTTTTATTCTCAAAAAGATTGAGCTTGAGAAACACTCTCTCTCTGAATTCCATTTTCCCCCCACCCTGTTGTACTTAGGAGCTTGTATTTGATAAGCATTGGATAAGAGTAATTTGATTACCCTGTTTGGGAATCATAGACGCTTCTTTTCTTCCTCCTACTCTATATTGTTCAGATACTTCTTTACTTATTGGTAACTCCCTCCCACAATGGGTAGTCAAGATAAAGAAACAGGAATGAAATATAGTCAATTCATGTTACAAGTTATGCCCAGCTCCAGAAAGCTTGTGGAAAGATGTGGCAAATAGATAAAGTGAGGTGGGCGGGACTAACCACAGACCGGTTTTCTGTGGTGTGGATTCCTCCATCCATGCAAATAACCAGGAATCAGCCATGCTGCATTTACCAGCTGACTGGATGTGTTGGAGTAGAAAATGCAGACAAGATTGTTAAGGTTGGAGGCACAGGAGGGAGGGGTGAGCACGTCGGACACTGATGACGTGCCAAAGTCCCCGGCTGCTGGCCCCTCCCAACCTGAAAAATGTGCCTTAGGCTAGCCAATCCTTGCACTGCTGTAAATCTATGCTCTGCCTCCCCCTACCTTCTTTAAAAACTCACTGCCTACCCTGCTGGGTGCGACTTCCCTGGCCTGTGACTTGCCACACTGGCGAACATTGCCCAGGATTTCACTCAAATAAACTGCCTGGCCTTTTGTTGCCTCTCATCGCCTGCTTATTTCGGTTAGAATTTATCTTTCATTTGGTGCCGAAAAAACCCAGGAAAGAGCATGAGTGCAGGGCCCCGACCGGCCACTGGCCCTGCCCCCTCCTTCCCCAACCCAGGACCTCAGCCTGCTCTCTGCTGCATGGACTATTTTCCGGTGAGTCCCTCAGTTTCCCCTGGTCTGTTTCCCTTCCTAACTCTGTTTTACCTGGTCCATCTGAAATCATAGCTACGTCCAGGTTGGGGCATCCAGCCCATCTGCTGCGGGCATCCGGGATACCCGCTCCTGGCCCTGTGGTGTAGGATACGTCCCTCACCCAGGCTCCCAGAACATCTCCCCTGACTTGGCGCACTTGGGACACTGGGTGCTCCTCTCAGTGGGATTAGTTGGGGGGGTGACACAGACATGGGGAACCAGCCCTCAAAAGCAGAGGCTCAGACCCCACTGCGGTGTCTCATTTCTAATTTGGCTACTCTATATTTGTCCCGGGAAGTTTGCAAATGGGAGCTGGTCTTTCTTTGCTCTCAGGCCTGGCCTCAGTATCCCTTGGCAACCAATCTCGGTGGCCCCCTGAGGGAACTTTCGATTTTGGCCTCCTCACTGACTTGACTAATTATTGCCACCGGAGCGGACAATGGGGTGAAATCCCATATGTGCAGGCTTTTTGGACTTTGCACTCCTGCCCAGGCCTTCATGTTAAGTGTTCAATGAACCAGGTTCTCCTGGCCTGATCTCCAGTTAAAGATTGTCAGCCTCTTACTCTGCCCAGTCCTTCTTCCTTTTCAGATCCGCCAGAAGACCTTGGTCTCCCACCTCTCTCAGCTCGCGATCCCCTCCCTGTCTCTGCCACCATCTTTAAGTTCTTTGTCCTCCCCCGTGTTGCTGCCATCTTAAAGTCCTACATTCTCAACCATGCCATCTTCCTGCTCCTCTCCTCTTCCGGTGGCTGCACCACCCCCTCCCTCTCTCCTTCCGCCTTCACCACCCTCTTCTCCCACCAGAACATGCCCCTCCCACCCTCTGGTTCCGGAAGCCACAGACAAGACTCCTCCCAACACAGACCTGCCTCCTTTCTCTCCCAACCCTACACCCCTCCCCACACCCACCATTTTGTAAGTGGTCTTGCGTGGTTGTTGAGAGTGGGTGAGCTGGGCGTAGCAAGTAAACATCTTAGTGATTGTGTATTGCAGTGTGTGTGCCTGCCTGCAGCCTGAAAATTTTTGTAGTGACCTACAATCTTAAAGTTTTGCTAAGTTAAGTAGACATATTTTGTGCTTAGAAATTATACTGTAAAGCACACAGTGTCAAGAATTATGAAGTGTGTTCATGAATTTGTTAATCTAAAGCATGATAGTGCAATGGTTTACAATAGCCCACTTCTCAGTGTTCACTGAAAATTAAAGTTCCTAATAGTTTTGAGGTCTAATTAAAGCTATTTAAAGAAGAAAACATCTCTACTTGCTAAAAGGATGTGTGTTTTAATAAGAGAAAGTATAAAGAATGGAAATTCATTTTGTTGAGGGTAAAAGAAAGTAATTGTTCTAAAGTACAGCTATTTATTTAAAGAGGGAGAACACTGAATGTAAAAAGAAAGTTGTAGAAAGCTTGTGGAAGAATTTAATATGGTCATGCTATATAAAATTAAAGCAAATGAATCTCAGTATCAAGTACACAGCAAAATTAGAATTTTGTTTTCAGTTAAAAAGAAAGTTTTCTTAACTGTTAGTCTGCTCTTAATGTTGAAAGATTGTGAAGAGTTCTTTAATTGTTTTATCAAAACAGTTTCTCATGCTTAAAGTCTCAATGAGTTGTCTGAATATTTAAGATGAGATCTTAATATGAAAAAACTAAAAGCTAAGTTTTGCTAATAACTGTGTAACCTTCTGTATTTGCCTTTGAAATATTTTATTGTCATTCTAGTTGAATAGATAAGTATTGTTTCATAGTAACTTATGATTCCATTTAAACAAATGCCTTAGAAAAACCTTAACAGC